TCTTCTTTACTTCTTGAGTAGACATTAAAGCATTAATTTTGCTCTCGAGATCCTTCATCTTTTCGTCCTCATCTATATCCTGTTTTGGACAATTTTCGAGAGGAATAATGCGGCCACCCCCAGTGTTATCATCATTGGTGGGTCCACCCCCAGCGTCGTTATTTTTAGTGGGGCCTGGTTAGCAGTGTTGCGACGGCTGGACTCACCTAGCTGATTTGACAAAGTTCGGATTTGTTGGTCGTGCATTTGTCTCATCTCCTGCATAGCCATTTCAATCTCGATTTTGAAGGCTTCTTTCTGCTTGGCTAGAGCATCCTCAATGATTTTGGTTATTTGCTCGGTGTTGGTCATGAAAACTTCCCGAGCTTCGCCTATGCTAGACGTTGTATCGTCAGAGGCGATTGCGGAATAAAAATCCGAGAGTTCGTCATCGGAATGTATTCCTTCATGGACACCCTGGTAATCATTATGTCCAACGTTTCTAGCTGAAGCTGAGATATTTGTTGGGTTATTTCCGAACTGACTTTTCTTCCTGGAGAGAAATTAGGGTTGGAACCACTTGAAACAATCGGAAATTTTCCTTTATTGACCATGTTGATGGTAACTTCTGGGAATTCATCATCTCGAGCAACCGATCCTTTTTGGTGGAAACACCTTGATTTGGGCTTCGTCGTTCCATCGGAGATTCTCTTGAATATCGAGACCCTCTGCGGAGCGGTCTTGGGCAGCTACACGTTAATAATACTGCCCTGATAATTTTGATACACGGACAGTGAGAGTCCGCTTCCCGGGTACTTCTCTTTTGATATTTATTTGTACCCCCAGCCTGATAGTACAATTCATCGACGTTGTAGTCAGAGCAACTTATCGGCTGTTTACATGAATTCTCAGGTATAACGCGTTCGTCTGTCTGAAGCGTTTTCCTCTGAGTAAACATTGCCTTGTTGGCATCTACAGGAGTCACACTTTTGGAATCACACCCTTGTGAGGGTGAAACCTTAACGGGCTCCTGGTTTTCTGCACGTACCTCCAAGCGGGCTGTTGTAGAAATTAATTTGTTAGGAGGTCGCGTACGACCCCCAGTCTGGATGTTTGCTCGAAGCTCCTTTAACGGTCCCAAGCATTCTTTAATAGGTGCTTTGCCTCGATCCTCGGGGAGAGCACCGACGCAATCCTTCAATGGGACTCTAGATTTGGGGAGATCCACGCTGTCATAGGGCTTCGCCAGAGGTGCGAGAGCAATAGGAACGAGATCTGGAGTTGACAAAGGCCTGAGAGTAGCCTCGGATGCTTTTGCCTTAGGCGCTAATTTGGCCTTTGGCATCCAACCTTGCTTAGATCTTGGTGGCTTTTTGACCACCTTTCCTTTCTGTAACTCCTGTGCATTCCATACAAGGATCCTCGTCTGCGCTAGCAGTGCGCCGGCGCTTGTTGATACCGCTCCTCAGAGTTGACGGTTCGTTGACACGACCCATTCGTTAGTTAGTGATTTAGGAGGAGGTTCCCCAAAGCCTTTTGTTGCGTGGAATATTTGCGTCGTCTGCGTTCCAGAATTCGCATCCATAGCAGATCCCGTCCAACAGGCCCTCAAAAGCCGTATGGCAATTGAGCGAGAGATCGTTAGATGGCGCTTTGACCGAGCCCTCTTCGTCAACACTGGCTGCACATTCAGACGGGCAACTCCTTGACTTTCGAGAGTGTATCATAACGTATGGCATCTGTCGCTTTCTTTGAAAGCCGGCGGATCGTTGCCGAAGTGTAACTACAAAGCGACCGGCGAGAGAGATGTCTTCTTGACGGTCTTCAGATTGAAGACCAGCGGATCTTCCTGGAGGAGAGGTCCTTCCTGCCCTGCAAGAGTAGGCCAAGATCTGGAGGAGGAAGAGTGAGAGAGACGTCAGCATCCTCGAATTTTTAGCTGGTCGAATTCGATTCGACCTCTTCGACACCGGGATCTTGACCTCGTCGGAATCGCACGACAGCTTCGACAGCGGAAGCTGTTGGCTCCCACTGTGCGTCGCCAGTATTGTTTGCGGTTGAAAAGTTGTTGTTTCCATTGTTATCGAATCTATTACAACTTTAGTTATTACAATAAACTCGAATGAAATAAAAAAGTTGATCTTTTATAAGATCTCCTCACACAATGAAAATAAAAAAAAGTTTATAACTTTATCAAACAAACTGCGAGGAGATCGTTTATCGCCGTCTTTGGCTTGCGGGTGTCTTTGCCTGCCTGTGCGGGGTTTATCGGGCGACCAGCCCGATCGATCATGATCCTGACTTGCCCTGAAAAATTAGGCAGAGCTTCGTCTATCCGCGAAGGGATCGAGAAAACTATAGCGCTTATCTCGACAAAAGCGAGATAATTGCTCTTCTTAGAATTACCACAACGGGATAATACTAAGGATTGGATGCGGGTGATGTAGATCTGACGAATCTCTCTCTCTTGCGTTGAAGAACTAGATCCGATCTCTCCTCCTCCTCTCTTGAAATCTGTGCACTTTAAGTCTTCAATCCGGCAGGGCTTCGCCGCGGCACCAGAATTCCAGATCTGAAAAAATGAGGGCCTGGGGCTTGTATTTATAGGCTTGGGGGGTTGCGGAGCGGTTAAAACCACCTAAAGGGCCCAAATCCGCGTGGAGACACCCTAGGGTGTCTCCCAGAATCCGAGACACCCTAGGGTGTCTCGGCTTTGGCCGAGACACTCCGTTGAGGTGCATTCGTCCGCTTCCGCTGTAAATTCTTCGTCCGAACTCGGATTTGAGTGATTCGAAGTACGTTGGAAAGCCGACAAGGAGTTCTATCAGCTCCGATGGTTGGATCATCTGTTGAATGAATGAGACACGAAGGGCGTTGTTCCTTTTGTAAACATCGCGGGACTCTCGATTAGCCCGTACCCTCGTTAGTTCACGTAGTTCGTCGATTTACTTCAAGCGTTCATCGACATCAATCGAAATCATGTGAACCGGATAGTGACGTTCGTCGTCATTCCTTAACACTGAGCTGTTCGTGGAGATCCATAGGTATTTTTCGATGCCTACACTCTCTAGATCAAAGAACAACCTCCCTGATCTCTTTTCTGATTACAATCTGAGTAATCTACCTTTTTTTTTCTAGAAAAGTCGTGTTTCTATTTATACAAAATAGAAATCCTAAACAGTGCAGGAAAACCAGCCCAGGCCCAAAACCCGACTCGCGGGCGACCGCAGAGCCAGGCGCGGTCGACCGCGGCCAACACCCGAGACTTAAATAAGTTACAGGGTTTTGGCGGTCGACCGCCGAACCCATCGCGGTCGACCGTGACCAACGACAGAGAGCAGTCTGGGTTACAGGGTTTTGGCGGTCGATCGCCGCACCCATCGCGGTCGACCGTGACTCAGTTCAACTGAATCCTCAGAGCTGTGCACATTCGCTGCTTCCAACAACTCTGTCCACGACTCCTCTACACTATTCTCAAGATACCATGAGAATCACCTATCCTCAAGCTTCCATGAGGATCGCTAAGCTCCCGAAGAGAAGACATCGCGGTCGACCGTAACCAACGAAAGAGAGCAGTCCGGGTTACAGGGTTTTTGCGGTCGACCGTCCGCACCCATCCGGTCGACCGTGACTCAGTTCAACCGAATCCTCAGAGCTGTGCACGTTCGCGGTCGACCGTCGTGACACTCGCGGTCGACCGTGAAACAGTAAAACTGTTTTTCTCGTGTTCCGACGAATCCTTCGACTTCGCTGCTTCCAACAACTCTGTCCCCGACTCCTCTACACTATTCTCAAGATACCATGAGAATCACCTATCCTCAAGCTCCCATGAGGATTGCTAAGCTCCCGAAGAGAACATACACCCGTATCAAAAGCAACCAAGGATCCCGACATACCCGACCCGTCGATTCGACAACTCTTTATGTCAACTCGAATGACAGTACTTGTCGGTTCTCTTTTCGAAGACGACTCGCAACGAGCCCACTTGAACAGTTATTCGACGTCTCATGAGGTCGACTCGAAAGACGTTACTTCTCGACCAAACTAAATGACGACTTCGGCCTCGACCCTCTCCCGCTAACAGCACGTCGGCGTCACATTTAATACTTGGCGGCATTATGCCTCTAGCCCTGATAGTCTTCATGACTCATCGGACCACGTCAGCACCGTCATACCTCTGATCACTTCTCATTTAATGTTGATTCGATCGGCACGTGTAAAGTAGGTGCTTTTTTCAGGGGATCAATCTTTTTTATCTTCATTTGGATCTGGATCTTTTTTCAAATTGATCAGACTTTTGGACCTTTGCTAAACAACTATTAGATGTTATTTTCTAAGTAATATCTACATATTACACTGACACTATACTAAAAAACTCATGCAATTTTTTATTTTCCCACTCAAGTTCACCAACTGACTTGATCGCCGGAGGTACAACGGGGAAATCAAACCCCGTCCTCTCACGAGTTTCTATTTGTGCATGCTAAAGCTACTAAACTCAAAACCGGATATTTGAAGAAGTAAACGACCTCTCATCAATCTCACCCCTATATATTGATTGTTTGGTTACCCATCATCAACAGAATGCCTCTCATTTCTCTACCTCAACAACCACGTGTACATTCTAGTCATCGCCCCCTCTCGTCCAGGCTCTGCTGCATGCATCTTGTCACACCAGACCCTTCGAAGATGGATGTCAACCCATTTTATTATTACCAAACATTTTAAACAAACTACGCTGTTAGGGATAATCCTTCTTCCAATGGGTTTGGATCGTCATAATCTTTTTTACAACTAAAATTAGCACTTCACACATCATTATTTGATGATCCCAATTTCCCTTTCGCTATGAATTTTAAGATCAACTACTTCACCGTAAAGCGATTTCAAATTTTTGAAAGCAAAAGGGACGACCACGATGCACTCACAAAACCAATCGAACATTAAATAAATAAATAAATAATAATAAATCCAGTTCCGATATTAAATCACGCTGACCGGAACGAGACCGATGAGATTGGAGGGAAACGACGAGGAGCAGAAGGGAAAATATTTCACGTGAAAGGGGGGAAAACTTAAAATAAAAACAATAAAAAAGGCAAGAAAATGTTTAAAAGCCGCTCCCAAAATCCCAATCCCAAATAACAAGAAACTCTCCCCTATTCATCCTCTCCGATCTCAATCACCAAAAGAAGACAGAAAACCCTAATTTTTTTCGATTCTCCGTATTCTATCGATCGGCGCTCTCGATTCTGAAGATCCTTTTTCTAAGGTAAGCGGATTCCGTCCGATTCCTCAAAATTTGATTTTGCCGCGATTTTGGTGTAGGATCTAGGGTTAGATGTTATTTTTGTTCGATTGGAGACGAGTTGAGTTTGAAGGAGGGAAAGTAGATTAGGCGCTGAGCGTTTGAGATGACTTCGGTGGAGAGAAAGAGGGATCTTGAGAACAAGAGGGGAGCTTCGAGATCGTTGAGCAAGCGTAGGGTTTTGGAGTCGAAGGAGAAGAAGAAGAGGAGGCTGATACTTTACGATTCGGATTCTGATGATGATGAGTTTGTTGTTTCTCCTCGGATCAAAACTTTGGAAGCTGATAATGTGGATGAGGTTAAGGAGGCAACGAAGAGTGATTTGGGCTTGGAAGTTGGGAAGCAAGCTGAAGAAGGGTTCCTGGGTTCTGGCGTTCGTGAGAATGGGGGCAGTTTGGTAATTAAGGAAAAGAGCAGCATTGATGGGTTTGCTAACAATGAGGAAGCAAAGCTGGAACCAAAGAGTGAAGAAAGGGAAGAACACAATGTGAATGAGTCTACCAATGAGGAGAAAAAGGGAGAATTAAACAAGGGTTTGAGTTCAGATGTTTTTGAGAAAATGGAAGAAGATGTTGGTGAGAAGGTCAAGAATGCTTCAGCAATCAAGGAAAAAAACAGCATTGAGCTATTACCCAGTGAGACTGATGGTAATGCTTCACCCATCAAGGAAAGCTGCACTATTGATCAAGTAACTAGCAAAGAAGACATACAGGTGCAGCCTGAGACGATTTTGAGATCAGAAGTTGTCAAGTGGGAAGATGCTGATGAAGCTAAGAAGGTCACAGATGTTTCTGCAGCTTCGCAGAATGGGAAGTGTTCTATGGTTAAGAAGAAGAGCAGTATAAACCGCTCAAATAGCGAACAGGAGAGGAATATTGATTCAGAGAAACGTACAAAGTCAAAAGTTGTCAAGGAAAGAGAAGAAACGGGCAGTAAAAAGAAACTTTTCGCTTTTCACCGGGCTGATCAAAATGGAAGCGGTTCTGTTACCAGGAAGAAGAGCAGTATAAACCAGTCATGTAGCAGGGAAGAGATAAAAGTGGAGGAGAAAAAGGTTTTTAGGTCAAAATTTATAAAGGAAAGAGAAGAAGCTCGTAGCAGGAAAAAAAGTAACGGTGATCACTTGACCAGTGAGAAGGAGGAAAGGCTAGAACGGAAGAAGATTTTGAAGTTGGAAGTTCATAAAGAAAGGGAAGGAGCTGACTCTGCAAGAAAAAAATCTTCAGAATCAAGTTCAGAAAGAAAGAGAAGTAGAGAAACACTTGATGACAAAATCAGTTCAAAGAAATTCCGATCAGGTGATGTGAAACACAGAGTAGAATTGGAACCTGGTGATGAAAACATTAAAAGGAAAAATCCAGTAGCTTATGATGACAGACAGAGAGCTTTGGCCAATGAGAAAAGAATGCAAGAGGATTTGGAGAAGAATTTTGAGCCAGAAGCTGAGAATTGTAGGTGGATTGAGCGTTCAACTGCAAGGACACTAAGGAAACTGAAAGCTAACAGTTCTTCGGGTGATACCAGAATAGATGATGTTGATGTTTCCCAGCAAAAGGGTCTGGGACAGCACGGCAAAGGCAGTGTTTTGAGGGTTTTGCCTAGTAACAAGAAGGTGGGTGGGATTGAAGGAGGTCATATACGGAGGGAAGCAAAAGAAGAGCGGAAGAACATCTTAAATCATTCTTTGCTCTCCATAGAAAGAAAAAACGAGAAACCAATTTCCACCACTAAGTCAGTTAAAGGTCAGTTGAATTCGGGGAAAGCTTCTGCCATGATCAAGATGAGTACAAAAGACGAAGCAAATGAACGCCGAGGTACTGTGAAACAGAGAATCAGGGAGCAGATAAAGGGAATCCTTCTAGATGCTGGTTGGACGATCGATTTGAGACCTAGAAAAGGTAGATGCTATGAAGATGCTGTGTATGTTCCACCAACTGGAGGAGCAGGGTTTTGGTCAATTACAAAAGCTTATGACGTGTATGTGAAGAGCTGCAGCAAGAAATCTTCTCAAGGTGACCAAGGCTGTAAAGGTTCTACATTTGCAACTATACCAGCAGAGCTTTTGCAAATGCTGACGAGGAATGTGGTAAACAAGAGAAGAAGTAGGGAAGAAATTGAAATGGGCGAGAGATTAGTAGCAAGGACAAAAGGGAAGGGAAATCTCAGAATAAAAAGTTCCAAAAACAATGTTGATGGATGTAAAGCGCGAAAGAAGAGAGGGTGCGCTTTGTTGGTTCGAGGATCTAACCAAGGTACAGATATCGACGACGACTATGTGCCCTACATTTGGAAAAGGACAATTCTATCATGGATGATAGATTTGGGCATTGTACATGTAGATGAAAAGGTGAAGTACATGAACAAGAAAAAAACACGAGCTTTACTGGAGGGATCTATCACAAGAGATGGTATTCGCTGTGGATGCTGTAGTAAAATCGTCCCCATATCAAAATTTGAGATTCATGCGGGTAGCAAACTGCTTCAGCCATATGAATATATACTTCTGGAGCGGACAGGGATTTCCCTTTTGCAGTGTCAGCTGAATGCTTGGGAAAAGCAGCAAGAATCTGAGCAGCAGAGTTTCCACAAGGTGGACATTGAAGGTGATGACCCAAATGATGACACTTGTGGTATCTGTGGAGATGGGGGTGACTTGATTTGCTGTGATGGTTGTCCTTCTACATTCCATCTTAATTGCTTGGGCCTTCAGGTATGTGTTACTCAATCATGCTGAGAGCATTTCTATTATAAAAATTGTTTGCAACAGCATGAAGTATTATGCAGTATTAATTTGCTTAATCATTTTAGTTGATTTCTGTCTAAGGGTGAGAATGGGTGGAGACTGGGAGGGTAGAAGGGTGAGAATTAACAATGCTTGTGTTTTTTTTTCTTTTTTCTGGGTAGGGGATTGGGGTGGTGACATGGGCTGTGGGGACTTCAACAGCATTTTTTACTTTCTGATTTCTGCTTTTTCCTGTAGAGCCTTTTGGCCTCTGCGTATTCTTTTGCTGCTTACTCATGCACCTTCCAGTGGGACTTTGATGTAATTGTCACAATCAACATCATTTACATCTGCTTTCTGCAGATGCTTCCTCCTGGTGATTGGCACTGCACAAACTGTTCATGTCGATATTGTGGCTTGGTTTCTGACGCTGTTCCAGAAGAAAGCGGTTCAAAAACTTCTATGTTGCTCGCATGTTCTCAGTGTGAGAAAAAATGTATGTCCATTGCCACATAATTCTTAAGACCATCCTCTCTTTTCTTTGTTCATTATCTCTGCTTGACCCCTTATGACTCGCATGGTTTATACTTTTTGGTATCTAAAATTTTGTAGATCACCGTGAGTGTATTCCTGAATCAGATGCCATTTCTGTTTGCTCAAATGATTCAGAGACTTTGTTTTGTGGGAAGAGTTGCAGAAAGGTAATGCCTACAGTTTTCAGTTTTAATGGAATTTCAGTTATACAGTCTTGCAATGCAAACAATATCAAATATATCCTTGAAATGGCCATGTTAGATATGTTTAATTATCTTTTAGCACAGCTGCACAGCAGCACAGGCCATCAGTTTGTGGGTTCTTGGTCTTCAGATTGTAGTCTGAAAATTTATTGGCCTTGTAGTCTTTCATACATATCACACCAAATGTATAATCCTATTGGTTGCTTAGTTCATTTGAAGTTCCTTTCTTTTCAATGCTGGATTCGAGATTGTATGTCCCTTTTCAAACAAATGTATGCTCTACTTTTCTTTCATTTAAGACCATATATAGTGTTCTAGGCTAGCAAATAGTTTTAACAGTTTTGAGAGACCTCAATTCTGATTACAACATGAACTTTGTAATACATACAGAATTTATCTATTTTGTTGATTGGCAATGATGTTCAAGGAAATAGAATGAGAACAGGACTTAATTAAGTATTTGTTTGTCACTTTGTCCATGGTCCTTATGATTAAAATTTTAGCTCTTCTCTAGAACTTAGCAAGGAGCTACAGTTTTTATGGTGATAACTAATTGACACAAAATAACGACATCAATGTAATAATAATTATTAATAACAACGAATACAACTTAGCTAGTAGGTAAATTATTTTTTTGTTGATAAAAAAGCAAGATTTTCTTTGCCAAGCATGAGAACTTCTTTTTGTCTATTTTGGGTGAGGAATGCTGTAACTGAATATATATTCCTAAAAAATTATTCGGTTTATCTTATTTGCATTTTTGTTCTTTCTTTGCTCGATGTTTTTTCGATGTTCTGCCTTTCTGCATCTAATTGAAACACCTGTATTGAAATGCGAGCAAATTTTGCACGAAAAATTGATTGCTCCATTTCTTGTCCGACCTCTTATTCACATGTATCATGCGTATTTAGAGCAACACAGTGTACACTGGAAACTCAAAGAGGTTCAGATATGGAAACTGTTAATTTCTTTTGGGCAGAAATATGAAGTTTGTAACCATAGAAGTTCTGGTTCTTCTGCCAACTACAAAAAAAGGCTGTTAGTTTTCAAAATTTCCCTAGAATCCTCCCTGATCTCTTTTTGTCTTCACAGGTCTTTTGGCAACTGCAGAAGCTTCTTGGAACAAAGAATGACTTGGAGGCAGTTTTATCGTGGCGCCTCATCCGTCGATGTGGTGAGGATTCACCTGAACATTCATGCAATCTGCCTCAGAAGGCTGAGTGCAATGCTAAGATTGCTGTTGCTTTTGCGGTTATGGATGAGTGTTTTCGTCCTATCATAGACCACAGAAGTGGAATCAATCTAATCCATAATGTTGTCTATAACTGTGGGTAAGCTTCAATATTATCTTTGGTGGTTTCTGGAAAAGAATGTGCTTGTTGATAATAAAATCCTGAGTATGCTTTTGCCCGCTGTCACATATTCATTTTGCAGAGCCTTGGTTTAACTTTATTTTTTTTACTTTTATATTTGATGTTGCAAGATCACATATGTTTTTTTTTGGGCGTTCCCTTGGACTGGGGTTACTTGTTTTTAGGCTGTTTTTTATTCTTTTATTGACTGCCTCTGAGTAAGTTTTATTACCTTTTATTTTATATCCTGTACAAGTCATCACCTTGAGAACTAGCAGTATATTTATGGGTTAATTTCACAAAAACCTCCTCAACTTTGGGGGATGTTGCATATAACCCCTTGAACTTTGTTTATCTCACATAATCGCCCAATCTTTCGGGCGGCTCGCAAAACCCCTCCTGAACTTCCAAAAATTCTCACCGGTCCCCTACCTGTAATTTGCACATAACTTAAATTTTCTTGAGAGGAAGTCCAAAATTTAGGGGAGGGGTGCTGCCTGTAATGACAAGTGACACAGTTTGCAGTTTTGTTTCCTCAAAACATATTTTAGTTATTTTGGAGGATTACGTGAGATAAACAAAGTCCAGGGTTATATGCAACATCCCCCAAAGTTCAGGGGTTTTTCATGATATTAACCCATAAATACCTCTTTCCATTTCCAAAACCTTTCATCTACACATCCCTTTTACTCTTTCACCCCTTTAACCTGGTTTCTGGAGGCAACTATGAGAACTCGTTGTGGTAGACTCTTTATAATTGAGAGAAAAGGCGTAATATGCTTGGGTGCCAAGGTTTTAACTTATAGTTTTAACGACCTAGCTGTTGCCTTTTATCTCCTTTCCTTCAAAAATCTCATTTTCCACCTTTTAAAATCTTTCTTTTATTTTCTTCATCTGATCTTTCTTACTGTTTTCATTTTGTTCATACTGTAAAAAGTATATCCCGACATTTACTTGATAGACATGCATAATGCTAGAGGAGCCTGAAAAGCATAATGTTGACATGTAGGAGTTTGCTCCCTTAAATACCCTCTCCTAAATGTCATTCAGTTTCATATATGTATGTGTATATATAGATGTAGAAGTAGATGTAGATGTCCACACACATGCACACATACACTGACATATGTATATGTAGATGTAGATGTATATATGTATACACACACATACATGTGTATATGTATATGTATGTATATCTACATGTACATATGTATACATAGACATATATATGTATATGTGTGTGTGCGAGCACACGCGTTTATCTATAACTTTCTTATTATTATATTTTCCCCTTCTAAAGTTAAAAACATGTTAATTTGTTAACACGATTTAAACTCTAGACCACTGTTTTAAATAGCGCCAGATAGCACTGTTGTAGCGGTGCTATTTGCGTTAGAGGAGGCCGCCGTGAGGAGTAGGGCCTTAGCGGTGAACAATAGTGCTCGTGAGTGCTTTTCACTCGCAAAAAAGATTGGAAACGAGAATAGCGGCAAAAATCCGCTTTTTATCTCTATTTAAAGGTGGTTAGAGTGGAGTTTGGGTCGATTAAACCCGACCTGTACCAAACTCGGCCCGAATTTTATTAAACCTCAAATCCAATCCTGTTTCTCCTCTGTCGATAGAAAAGAAAAAAACCCTAAAGTCGCCGCCTCCATCAATCTCTTCCATCTCCTCCCAACATCGCTGCCTCCAGCCCCTTCCTGCCGCCTCCCGCAGCCACCTCCTCTCTTCTCCTTCAGCTCCTCCGCCACCTTTAACAGTTACAACAATGCCATCTCTAAAGGTGACAGGATTCTAGAGAAGTAATATAGCAGCAGAGGGTACTCACAGTATTCTAGGGTGATAATTGTATATAAAAAGTAGATTTTTTAGATTTTTCTTTAATGTTTCTTATTTTTTTAATATTAATACATGTTTAAATTGGACAACTATTTGATTTTGCGGTTTTTGCTGTTATTTTGCCGCTGTCGCCCCAAATAGCCTTATGGTGCCGCATCGCTACGTGACGCTATCCGCTATCAATAACCTTGCTCTAGACCTTGTCTGAGACTGTATTTTCTTTATTCAAAGCATTAGTCAACGAGAGGATTTCCATCTTCCTAATCTTATTTTTCTTGACATAAAATTTATTTTCCTCCCTATTCCGCTGCGTCTTCACGTTGACATATATTGTCTAATAGGTGGAACATTCTTTTAAGAGATAGACCTTTTTCATGATTGTTGTAACAATGTGACATCTTCTGCCCTACTCATACAACTAGAACTATGTGATTTCCCAATATCTTGTGTTCCCTATGGTTGTGATTGTTGAGATTGGGCTGACCAGTTCTCCAGCATATTTTGGACTGAATGCCATGCCTGAAGAGTAGTGCTTGAGGCTATACAACAGGCTTAAGACGGACTGAGTCTTTGGGGCTTGGTTATTGCTTCACATAGATGCAAGACTAGGAGAACGTTACTTGTAGTATTGTCCTGTAGATGAGAATTTAAGGTATAAGAGTAGTGCTTGAGGCTATATAACAGGCTTAACACGGATTGAATCTTTGGGGCTTGGTTATTGCTTCACATAGATGCAAGACTAGGAGAATGTTACTTGTAGTCTTGTCCTGTAGATGAAAATAATAGAATTTACAGTATAAGTAAAAGAGTCTTTTTAGAGGCTTCAAACACTAAGCCCCATGACTTTGCTGAAGAAAAAGTTTGGAAATATTTTTATTATCAAGAATCTGATTTTTAGTCAAGATGTGCTTGATGGCGACGAGATGAAGTTATCTGCGGCCCAAATGTTTTGCTACTGGGCCTTTGTTAATCTTTCGGTGTAATCATTGAGACGGGTCTTATACTTGTTCTCTTCTAAAACTCTGATACATTAAGGCTGCGTTTGGGAACTAAGATTTCAATTTGGAATGTTGATTTAAAATCAAAGGATTTTAAATCTAGGAAGGCTGCGTTTGGGAACTAAGATTTCAATTTGGAATGTTGATTTAAAATCAAAGGATTTTAAATCTAGGATTTAAAATCCATGATTTGATAGAATCTTGGAATGTTGATTTAAAATCAAAGGATTTTAAATCTAGGATTTAAAATCCATGATTTGATAGAATCTTTAGGTTGGATGTCTTTACAAAATGCAAGGATTTGAAATCAAAAATTTGAAATATAGTGTTTGGATACACTTTACGTGAACTTGGATTTCAGAGATAAGGAGGATCATTCTGTGAACTATTTATGACATATACACATAATTAACATATAGTATCATGCTACTTAACACAAGCCTTTTTAAAAGAAAGAAAGACCTGTCATGCACAAATAAAACTTTGAGAATTGATTCAAAACCAAAATTGATCACCTTAATAGCAATTATAAATACTCAAGCAAACATCTCATCCTTCATGAATCGATATGAGAGAATACAAACAATAGTAATAATGTCCAAAATATTCATTATAATAGCATTTTTTCATGGTTTTATCCACTACCACATTGACCTTCAATCTCCAAAATAACAAGAGTACCACTTTAAAAATTAGTCATGATAAAAGACTTGACGACACACTAGAGTATAGCGAACAAGCCACATAAGAAGCTCTAGGCCACACAATAAGTCTTCACTTAAAACACAACGTACTATAGGTGGTAGATAACGATGATTTTCTACAACAAGCTAAATTAGCACAACATAAACTACTAAAAGAAACTATAACAAGAATCGTCTATTTATCCTTCAAAGTCTTCTCCTCCTTTTCTCCTATGCCTCCAACTCATGTCTCGGAGAACTTATTGGATCTTACATTAAAAAAATTTAGCATCAATTAGTTCATGAAACAAAATATGCTTTAAAACAGAAATAATATCTACTACAAAGGCAAATCACAACTATAAGTGTGCATCCTAACATAAATGACAAAATAACGGAGTTAAATATGCCCTAAAAAAGAAAAAGAAATCCAAGAGAGAACTTACTCGAATGGGTTCAAAGATTTGGGGATTCTTGTCATCCAACTAGAAACTACTGCTTAAGAAATAAAGAGAATAAAATCTCTTTTTTCATCATCAAGAAGTGACTTCAACAAATAAAACTATTCCGGGTTGCTATCCATTATCTTCTCAAATGCATTGAACACTTGAATGCGACTTAAGTTGGGTATTTTTGAGACAACTTGATGAATCTCCTATCCGGTTGGTGGTTTTCTTACTACTTCCTTTTTCTTACCACAATGAGTTATTTCCACCATACTAAAACTCAAATAGGATCTAAATTCTAAACACACCTGCACCTGGACCAGCTCCAGGTGAGTACAATTCCTCACAGTTGATACAGCAACACAAAGTATCCTTCCACACAAACTCCCACAATACTTAAAACATATCTATGAGCATATTGTCCCACAATAACCAAACTTCACAAGACATGAAACCTTACCCACTGGCCATATTCCCCTATAGCGTGTCAAACACACTTCAGACTGTTACCTAGCTAAGGACCCTTCTTGCTGCAGGTGCCTTGCTGGCAATTAGGGGAATCGGTTTTCTTGGGGAACCCCCAATATAGAATGGTAATACTCAAAGAAGCTATCGAGTTAAAGAGTTACACTCGGGTCTTGGCTCTCTTCATACTGAGAGTATCATTGAAGGGAGATAACGAGCCAGAGATGTTTGACCCTTCATCACGAAGCGTGCCATTGAGCAAAGCTAGCTTTCTCAGTTGCTTCTTTTTGAAGAAATCCTGTGATTCATCCTGTAAAAGGAAAGATGAAGAATATTACGAATTGTGTTCTGTAGGATTCAAGGAAAAATGATGGTTGGGGAATTTCTGAGAAGATAGTAATACCACAGGCTTGAGAAAATCTTCCAAGATCTCACGAGCTTGCATCAGACGGGTATCGATAATATCAACTGGCAACTCTGCCTCTGCTAAAATCTGAATAGGCTCATCCAAGTGCTCATATCCTGGTTTCCCCCTCATCATATCCTCCAGTAATGGATAAAAGTATTAGCACGACATATCATGGACTTTGTTTCTTAATCTTAAGTCGTTTCTAAATATCTGGAACTGAAATTTTGCCACTAGAAAATAAAATTTGTTTCATTTCTTAGTTTATCATTATAGCAAAAATTACCCAAGTTGGATCCTTGATGCTGCCATGACCTCTAATGAGACTATAACAGAATTCTGAGGAAAATAAAAAAGAAAATCATAAAGTCTGGACATGTCATTTGCGGATAATAAATCGCGAATTCTGATATATATATTTTCTGTCGGCTTGTTTCTTTCTTCTTTTGCATGCACATGAGTTCCAGTTAGTTCTCATCAAAACTAGGCAAAAGCAAAAACTACACCATGTGTTTTCTGAAAGTTCCAGAAGTGACAAATATGATGACAATATAGTAAGAAGGAACAACAAAACCGAAGAATTGCGATGAGAGGTGAGATAGCAAGGCGGAACAAACGTATATCATAACAGTCGATATATAGTTGGATAAAAATATCATATTGCGTTCAGCCTTCAGCCTCTAGTAGTTTCTTTTGCTGTAGAAATCTAGGACCGCATATTATAAGTTGCCCTTGTAGCCATATAAACAGTTTAGTGGTTCTCTTGCTAATCATCATATATTTATGACTGTTTTCAAGCAATAAGCAAATGTTGTGAGTTAGAATGTGACAAGGAATGAACACAGATGAAATCTATTAAGTGTTAAAGTTAAGTGAGTCAATATGAATAAAATCTCTAAAAATAAAAGCACAGGTAACCAATTTGAGGATTCAGTCAAACCAATACCACATCCACATCACAGCTCGGGATATCTTTATACTAATCTAAAAAAAGGGTCTCAAGCATGCATTGAATTATTTTCTTGAACCATGCACACTTGTTTTATTAAGAGGCACGAAATGTATGATCCTTAGCATTAATAAACCTGAAAAGAGAAAAGATAATCAACATCCACTAGGAAATTCCAGAAAAAAAGATCATGTAGTGCAACACAGGAATAAAAATGAGTACCAAGCTTCAACATTATTAATTGTTACATACATGTGCATGCGCGTGCGTGTGTGCGGGGTGTGTGTGTTGTGCGCGCGCGTGCTTGTGTGTAAAACAATCTAGTATTAGTGTGTGTAAAATAATACAGATGCAAAGTACTGAACAATATGCAAAGATAAAATCTTTATACTAAAATGTGAAGAACAACACATAATAATCAACAAAGCCTACAAAAAATTTAACAAATTCAACCTTCTAATTAGCCTTGGGAAGTAGTAGCAGTAATCTCACCTCTCAATCTCCTCAACCTATCCACGCACCGATCCTCGGTCTCCCGATCCGCCCAATCCGGCGCCGATCCACGAAATCCCACGTCCCTCGTCGCCTCCATAACCCTAGACGCATCCTCTGCTGTCAACGGCGCATTCCTCCAATCCTCACCATCTCTAAAAGCCCTAAAGAGTCAAGATCGACGCTTCCTTCTCCCTCTCCCCCTCATCTTCCATTTCCTCCTCATTGACGAAGTTAGGGTTACGGTTTTGGTAGTGAGTTGGGATCTCCCCGCCATTGCAGAGGATTGGGAATGTGCGATCAGATTCCTTCTCCTTCTCCTCCTGCTCATCATCCAGGGGGAGAGGAGAGGGGAGAGAGGGGGAGGGAGGGGGGGGGAGGAGAGAGGGAGAGAAGAGGTCGGGATTTGGAAACGAGAGAAAGAAGCAGCGAGGCCAGTCGGGATTTGGTAAATTCAAGGGTATGGTGGGATTTGAAATATTTGTATTTGGGCTTTCAAATTATCCTCTCTAGAATAATCTGATTTGAAATTTCAGTCCAATTTAGAATCCAAACTAGAGATTTGGATTTGAAATACCCTGAATTTGAAATCCAGGGCGCAAATCCAAGTTCCCAAACACAGCCTAAATGAATTTGAATTAACTTGTATATGAAATGGAATTAACTTGTATGTGCTTGAGCTAATGCATTTTAGCACAAAGAGCTTTGATATTTGGTTGTAGGTTTTCAATTAGTTTGTCGATTTTGAGAGCATTTGTTTCCTGTGATAGTTTTTATTGGTCATCTTCTATGCTTGTACATAAGAGAATCTTGAATAGGAAATAGTTATTCGAATGGCTTTCAGATTCCTAATCATAACTGTTTCCATTATTTTTGTTCTTTTCAAAGCTATGATTATATAGTTTCTAAACTATGAAGCTTCATTGGTGCTTTAGTCTGAAAATGTGTGGAGCCAGAAACTTTAAAAATAGTTCATGCCATTCATTATAGACATGTTTTTCATAGGTCAGTTTATTTGCTTCTTTCACAGTATTTGCAGGTCCTTAGGTGCAAGCGTGTTTACTAGTCATAAAGTTCTTTGTGTCTCTATTCTTAGTTGAACATTTATAACTTGCTATGTCTATCATGAATATGTTTTCATTTTGATTTAAATCTTATCAGTTGCTATACTCCTAAGATTTGTTTTTTCTTTTGTAGATCAAATATTGATCGCCTAAGTTACACAGGCTTTTATACATTTGTTCTGGAGAAAGGGGATGAAATTATTGCTGTTGCATCTGTCAGGTGTGCATCTTGGGCTTGTTAGTGTGGAAGTTGTTTCTTGCAAACAATCAAAACTTAAGTTATCTTATGCCGAATTAAGAATTGTGATAGCTTGTTCACTTCCATTGAAAACTATATACTTATGTAGAATTCAATGTATGCTTTTGAAAGCGAAGTTAGCACAAATAAGTTGCTCACTTCCATTGTTTTGGGAATCTGGGATGACACTCATAGGAATTAAAGGAAGAAAAAAAAAAGTTTTATTTTGTGTGGATTTGTTGATGATGAGGAAGGATGTCTGAGTATATTTCCTTGTAGATGATTTTTTTTAAAATTCTGTTATTGTGGCCTATTAAATGCATCTACAGAAGAGGATTTTAAATCCAAATCTCATTTCTATTCTGGTGAAGTGATCAGATCTTCCATTTCGTTAACTGAGTTTCATCTTTTTTTGTCTTTGATCATGCAGAATACATGGTACAAGGCTTGCAGAAATGCCATTTATTGGGACAAGAAATATGTACAGGCGTCAAGGAATGTGCCGCCAACTCCTTAACGGAATTGAATCAGTATGCGATCTTAGTTTTATTTAGTCCTTTTCATTATGCCTGTGAAGGAGAGGGAGAGAGTTCCTTTATGCAGTTATTTTCTCTCATTTGATTCATGTTTATTTTATTTATTTGACTATCTTGAAGCGTCCATCATAAGCAACATCCCAGTTAGGAAATTTTTTATTCTCTTGAGATTATGCTGATTACTTGCATTGTTTGCCCGACTGTCTTGTGTTTTTCTGACTCTTGCCTTTGATGTACTACCACAAGCAATCCTGAAATGGGTCTCTTGAACTTTATGACTTAATAAAAATGCCTGAACAAAGTCACAAATACTCTGATAATAAGGCAACATTTTGCCAATGAACCAATGGATGAGAGAGATTCCTTTATTCTATTCTATTGGAGAAATTTTCCTTAAGTTTTGCAAGGAAGTGCTTTGATAAAATTACAAAATCTGCAGGCAGCTAG